TTTCAAGCATAGCATTGCCTGTATAAACATAATTTTATGGTTGCCTAAGCTTTTATTAAAAGAATTTTTGGATGGGAAATCCTTGATAATAAAAAGCCAAGAGTAATTTCATACGGGTCTTGACAACAGTAGGTGAAAATCTCTTAAAACTTTTGTCTAATTTTAAGCGAAATAGATTTGCAGAATTTCGCCTTGACGTCTATTATGTCAAATAAGTTTAAAAATGCATTTAAACAGAGAAGACACATTTTATGTTCGTATAATTTAACCGATCATACGATCAGGTCAGATCCAATCATTCCTCTTGTAATATTAAATGGCAATCGAATTATTTTCTATAAAAAATTGGCAAAGTTTTTGAAGAAGAAAACCGATTCGTGAAAATGCAATTATACCGCATTTATTGCTTGTGGTGCAACTATACCGGTAGTGCTAGGTCTTAAAGTAAGGGAAATGAATCTATAATTAAACAGGAAAAAGGAGAACTCATCTTCAGTAGTTTACTAATCAAGAACAAAAATTAAAATTTGAAGTTTAAGAATTGTGATAAGAGATTAAATAGAAACAAAATAAATGATCATTTGAATTCAAGAATTCTCTTAGAAATTTGTTAAATGATATTGGAAATTATAAAACAAAGAAACAGAAACAATTTTTCTCCGCTTAGGAATCATAAAGGAAAATTAAATAAAACATTCTAGTAAATTTCTTGTGAAAGGTAACCTGGAGCCGCTAAGCTACCCCAGCGACAGATTACGGGCAACTTTTGCCCTCACAATAGTTGTGATTAACGTATTCATAATGATAAAGGTATTATAGATTTTCATATTAGCGAAGTAAAAAAACGATTTTTGCCAAATAATTATGTTTTCATGCTAACGAAGAAAGCCAGTGGTGACTGGCGATCCGATTGTTATTTGCAGTTACTTTATCCAATATTACTTTCCGCGTTCCGTACGTATCAAAGCTGTAAAATACACTGAAGATACAACAATATACGACTTACTTAAAAAATTGCTTTTAAATTTTCATTTCGCTCTTTAAGGAGTTACTTACGCAAGACGTGCAAAATCTCTTTGTTCCTCAGCAGGAATGCGATTTGTGACAACAAAAGATTTTACATGCTGCGTAAGTGCGTGCAAGGCCTGTCAAACAAAGATCTATGCACTCCATGACGACAGAAGCGGAGGTTACGCTTGAAGAAGTGCCTTGGAAACCGTTATGCGAAACTTTACTAAGCGTTCAATTTCAAAATGAAGAAAAAGTGCAGGGACCAGGGACAGGTATTTGTGCATGTTTAACGATGCAAAGAATCTATGATTGACAAATAACAATTCCCTTCCAACATTTTTATAGTATGTGAACACGAGAGGGTTCACGGTTTTGTGCACGGTTCTCAGTGTAGTAAATTATGGAAAGGTAAATTGCGCGTACATTGTTCATTGTGCAAAGGTGGCGCTTTTACAGTGCACGGCGATCCCGAGTATTAGGATGATGTACTGAAATGCGATCATATTATCAAGCCGATTTTGGTTACATCCAACAGCGGATTAATGAATTATTATTAATGCACGAACCGAAATTTTGGACTTATTCCTCTTTGGAATGCAACAAATATTGAAAATTCTGTCCTGGTCGCAATTTGTTGATCGATTTTCGTAATTTAGCTGAGCGGGCAGAACGTATATAGTATTATATGGATGTGTTAAATGAGGGTGGAATTAAAGGAGATTCGAGATTTATTAAAAGCCTCTTGATTGAAAAATTAAGTCAGATGGGCGCCTTGCAATCGCGGTCGCCGGAACTACGCAATTTTGTGGAGGCCGACGAGTCCGTTAATAAAACTGAAACAATATGTGATGTATTTTATAAGAAAAGTTGCAAAATTATATTTTTTTAAAATTCCATTAATAAAATAAATAAATATGCATCCATTTACATATCAATCTGAGTTTTTGCTAAAAAATTCCATACAGCAGGATGAAACACGAGTTGTTGTTTATTTTTATGAAAAAAGTGACGAGTTTGGTTCATTTTCACCGAAAGACTGAAGGATTTTGTTCATTTTCATCGAAAGATGAGTAACTTTTGTTTAGATACGCATCGCCTCTTGCACATGCGTGGATAGAAGGAAGCTGAATGATTTTACTGAAGCTTTTTTTAAAGAAATAACTTCCTGTCTAAAAGCTTGAGGAGTGGTAACGAATAACTCATAATAATGAGTATTTTTTAAAAGAACAAACTTTTTCCTTGCATTTGAAAAAGTGGTCGATTATCTTACGCAATTTCCGGGCATAAAAACGGGCGATTTGGATGCAAATTTCTGCAGCAAACGTTTAACGGCATTAAAGTATTCATATCAAAAGCTGAAATGTCTCGTGGATGTCGGTGTTTTATTTGTACGACCTCGTAATTGACTCTTTTGCTGTTTTTTGTCACGAATATTATTTTCTAATACTTAAATATGCAATTAACGACTTCGTCAAGTATAATTAGTCTTCTACATTCATCTCCATGCCAAGGAATTCGCCAAGAGACAGTTTTCTTTGAAGCTAATCAATTTATTATTAAAAGCGAAATGCAATTAGTTTAAAATATAACTTAATACTTTATGATTCAAAAGGTCTATATAAACGGTAAAAAAAAGGGAATTATAGAAATAAATGTGATCGAGTTACATGGTAGATATTAAAAATACCTAATTTTGCTATGTAAATTGGCAGACATTTAAGTTAGCTGTCATCTTCTGAACTTGTACTTTCATCTTCAAATGCTGCTAAAAGGCTTGGGCGATTTCTATTCGAAGATAAATGACAGGGCTCACTGAATTTTTCTTTGAAGTCCTCTATGTTTTCATCACAACTTTCTTTAACATAATTACTTGCGCAACGCCCATTCGGAACGGTATTGTCCCTCTTAAAGCATTCCGGCCAAATACCAGCCTTGATGTATTCCTTGATATGTTCGGTTGTTAAGATCTTACAAATCTCTGCGTTAGCTTTATCGCCCTCTTCGATTGGTTCTACTAGGATGAAATCATCTCGTTTAACCTAAACATTTTTTTTGAATTTTGTGGGCATAATTATTACTACAAACATAATCAAACGATAAAAAATGTGTTCACCTATGATATTAGAATTTATTCCATTTACCCAGAAAATTCTCAGTTTCCGTATCGGCTTTTCATGGAAATTGTTACCTCGACTAGCAATAATAGGTACTATTTGTTGGCCTCTTTAGAATCTTGGATCATTTCCTTTATTCTATCATATTTTGCCGGCTGAGTCCTAAAATGCAATGATAATCAATAAAAAAAAAATTTCTTTCTGAGCACCGGAACCTGATAAAGAAAGAACGGTTGCATGGTAATAAATTGTTAGCGGAAGGTGTTATTGAACGTGACATGAAAAAAGAAGTGGAAGCTCTATGAGCGCATGGCTTATGTACCAAAATCGGATTGCTATCTGGAGCAAAATGTACTATTGCAGCATTTCTATATACCCAAGATCTTCAAAAAAAAAATGATGCATACTCCTCTGTAGTTTTACATGCATTTGCCGACTTTCAATCGGTCGTATTTCAATTATATGCTCTAAATGCTTTGTTAGATTTTCCGTACCTGTCATCAAAAATGGGATCGTTATATTGTGGTGTGCTCCCTCACAGTTTATACAGTTTATTAAAATCTTGCCTAGTCTTAAATACTTCTAAACACTTTGAAAAAATAGCGGAATTCAATATCAAAACCACACCCCCCACACAAAACTAAAACCGAAAATTTAAAGAATGAAATGTGAAAAAATCGATTTATAAACTAAGATGACAGCGCTTATTTGACCTCAGGAAATCTAGCCTGGCTTTTCATAAGTGGACTAAAAATTATCTAAAAAAATGTCCCTTATTTCTAGAATAATCAATACATCAATAATATTTAAATAAGAGCGTTTGTTGCCTGTATCAAAAAGAAATCGAATTATTTCGAATATTTAAGATTGCATTTACTGAATTTCTTTAACAAATTATTTTTATTATAAATATCAAATAATATCAAAGTATAAATAACAATTTATTACAATTCGTTTTTTTAATAACAATATTGCGGTGGTGAAAAGCACGCTCCACGTTGGATCATTCAAAGTCACTACCTCTCAAATAGCGAAAATCTGCGAGTTCAATACTTGAAAGCGTCTCAGTTGGTCGGTTTCTGTATAATTTTAATAAATAATTTAGTAAGTATGGAAGATTAAGTAGCTGTTAAAAGTCTTACAATCTCTTTGACATCTTCATCTCATCGGCACGCTGCACTCTTAAGATGTGATAACAAAAGTCCAAAACTTCAAAACGCCTTTGTGATGCACATAAAGCTATTAAAATTTTCCTATTTTATTTTCAATATTTTGTGCTATTGATTACCATCACTGTTCTCTCGATTATTGGTAATGATATTTGCAGGTAATGATATTTGCAAAGCATTCATTACTAAAAATAACTGGCTCATCTTTATGTTCATTCTTCATATCACTTTGCAGCTCTTAATCTTTGCTCCATTTCAAGGTGGTGCAGTTTGTAAAATTGCATCTATCCAAGAATTGCCTTCAGCCACACGAATTAAATATATTCTTCATTTATTCAAACTGTCAAACTAACCATGGAATGTACTTAATACTGCTCTTTGCCAGCCAGGCGGACCTAAAAGAAGCAATTTTAGGCTCCTCCTAGTACCTAACGGCAAACAAGAAAGTGTCATTCCAGGACTGAAAGATAATTCAGTTAAAACGCTAAGGAAAGTATGTCAGATCACGCAGATCAGAAATCGCTTGAAGAAACTACGTTAAAGAGATCGAAAACAGTACAAGAAGGAGCTTGGTAAAACAGTAAGGGATAAGACTTGAGAAGGTCCGGTTAGAGTAGCTTTATTTCTATACATTCTACAGCTGTTTTCCTCTCTAATTCAACTGGCACGCTTTATTTCTATACATTTTACAGCTTTCGTCATCATCATTTACGCTGAACAAGTGTAAGTAAGAAACAAATTTATTTACTAGTCGCTGCCAAAATCCAAAAAGTAGCAATTGACTTTTCTCTCAGATTAGCGCATTACATACCGTGTCCACACATTCTTGCTCATCGTTCAAATTCATGAAAGTCTTGTACGCATAAATTTTGTGCAGTTCGTTCAACTCTTCTTACCATAGTCCTCCTAGTGTTTCTAGATTTCGGCAAACAAGCGTTCTTCTCATAAAAACCGTTGTTGAATGAATGAACAATGCGTGCTCGTAAATACTTCTCATAGCCAATGTCTATGCTGAGACATTCTTTCTCTGTAGCCGCTCCTGCTTTGTAGGAGTGCCTTGATAGTACCGACCCCTGGCAACGACTTGCTTCGCTAAATAATCTTAAAAGAACCACAAATAAGAAGAAACGTTTCATTAAAAACCTTAAGAGAAGTGGTTCATCTTTAGTAAGCATTGTATATTATTCAATGTGTGTACAAAACATTATTTTTTTTTGCTGAGTAAGACTAACCTATTGCTCCCTATTACCATTAATTTACACGCATTCATATACAATCCGTTTGATAGCTTTAAATCCATCCTTAGCAATATACACACAGTTTCTGGCTTTAGTATCGTTTAATCCATTCTCCTCATAACATACATTTTGCTTTTCTACTCCGGTACGTTTAATCCGTCTGCACCATATATTTTCCATTTTTCTTAATTGTTACCGCATATTCCTTATTATAAACATTTGAATTTATTCGCAAATGTACACATTAAATGCTAAATAACTTGCATGTATTGTAAATATCTTCTCGTAACATAACAATCGTACCTGGCAAATTTGTGCACAACAGTTTTTCTTTATTTGCTCTAAAAATTTTTTTTGATTTTCTTTTGTAAAAATTAAGCAGCAAAAGAGTATTGATTTCTTTCAACCGAAAGTGTACTTTGTGGTGCAAATGAGGACTGAAACCAATTTCCAATCCTACTGCTGTGAAATTAGTTTGCCTGGTGCTTCAAATTTTTCATTCGTTTTCCTAATGCATCATCTCGTTTGTTCAATTGAAATTGTAGCAATACTGAGCCGATTTAGAGAACTGACTGAAACAATTGGTGGCCTTTCTGCTTCATATTATTTCGACATAAAAATCTCAGTGCGACAAATCTTCAATTTATTTCCGTTTTTCCTTTTTCTAATTAGAAAACGCTTCCGTGTTGAGTGTCATTAAGAGAGTATTCAACATCAGTTAGTAAAGCAGCAACAGCAATAGCGAGAATAATAGTACATAACTACAGCAATAATAAGATCAACAACACCAATAACAACAGCAGTAAAAACGGCGCGACAGTACATTTTAAAAGGTGTTAATTAGTTTATATAAAAAAAGATTGTTTTTTTTCCTTTTCAATATCTACCACAGATGGATTGTACTTTTGCAAATTATAAGGAAACGCAGCATGACCGTTTTTTACAGTATTGGGTTTGTGGTGGTTTCGCTCAACTTAAATGTGGTGGCTTTTATAGTAGGGAGGCTGACCATGTTACTAATAGGAAGGAAGGTCTCCGGTGGGCTTTCGTAGTTGCCGAAAGATTGGTATAAATTTTCGCAAGCTATTCAAGCAGAACCAGAATGGTTTCAGCGATCTATATAACGATCTAAAAAAGTTAACTGATAAATATGTTAAATTACAGGACTGCTTCAATGGCTGAAAGTCAAAGAGTCAACTTAGCGTGGAGCGTTCAAAAACTAGGTGACAAGCTTACTGTTCTTTATCAGAGTGTACTCAACCTCAACACGAAGCTTAATAACTTGCTAATTGATTGATGATTATAACATTCTTACTCACAGAAACTTGGCTTAAGCTAAGTGTCAATGGTGAACAAATTTTTTGTAAAAATCCTCAGGTATTCCGAAGGGATAAAGTTTATACCAACTGTCCTTGTTACGTTCTCCAAGCCGGTTGGTGTGGAATTGGTCTGTGTCATGATTAAAAGCAACAAAATCTCTTTCTTTGTAAGGCTATCATACATTCCACGTATTCAGAAAAACAAATTACCATGATCTAAAAAATGCTCTACACTCAACGTGTTGGGTCTTGTATTACCGTGCCATTGAAAGCTCTCTATCCGTTTTTTATAGCAATTGGTTGTTTGCCACTTTTATATCGACTTCAATTAAATCATTCAATAGTCCATCGAATGAATAGACTTTGCCTTGATTTAATGACGACCTTAAGAAGCTAAGAAATAGAAGAAACAGGCTTTCTAGAAACTAAAAACGTAGTGTTTCATCTGTGAAATTAGTCAACTATTTAGCCGTCAGGCGTGACTTCAGCTCTCTGAAAGATAAATGTTATGTTAATTGCAGAAATACAATGAAAAATAAAATTCTTTCTGAACCTAAAATTTTTTATAACGTTGTTCATTCGAAGCAGACGGTCATTCGTTGGTCATGCGTTATGAGATGTCAAAGGCGTCACAGGATCTTGAGATAGCTAATCTCTCTCCAGAATTCTTTCAAAAGTCTCATTCTATTACTGCTATACTTGAGGTAGTCATGAATAAACTTTTTGTTCTTTTTCCTGAGGTTCGTTTAGGATTTGGAGAAAGCTAAAGAGAACCATATCAGATAAGAGATAACAGATAAGTATTTGATAAAGTTTATAGCAAACGACAACGACTTTACAACAAGCCAGATAAAGTAGCCCATTTTTTGCCTAAAGATATCAGGAAAGGTATCTATTGGGACTTCTGTTTCTGATTTACAAAAGACAAGCTTCCTAACTTTAACCTAACTTTATTTATTTATTTATTTATTCTACTTATACATGAAACTCAAAACAAATTGACAGTCGAATTCAATTCACTCTTAAAGTAAATCTTATATTAACTAGGCTTTAATGTCCCTAACCGCTTCTCTAGGCACTTTATCTTGGTTAAGCTTAGTCAGTGTAAATATAATTATGAGCTCTTTAATCCGCTCAGAGTAGTTTCCAAGAACTTAAATGACGTCTATCACTTATTCTCGTTATCGGATCCTTTAATGTCCATTAAAGCAACATTGCTTAATACGCGCGATTTACCTATGTCTTATTTAAACTAGCTTTTATCCTTAAAAGTCGTTACGATTCGAAAATGAATTGTTGTTAAGTATTATCGGTTGCCATGCTTATGCATGTTTGCGATGGCTTAGGGATTCATTTGCAATTTGGTCTTGTACCGGTTGTAAGCGTGGCTCTATGCTGGTTGTATACATGCTTTTTTTCTTTTTTCTTTTTTTTTCCTTCTTATTTGTTTTATCGTACTTATACTAAGTTTTATTATTAATTTAATATAAGTTTTGCTTTAAGTGCCAATTGAATTCGACTGTTATTTGTTTAGTTGAGTTTAGAATTAAAATAAATAAAATAAATAAAATAAAAATAATATTAAAACTTAATTTAGGTATAATAAAACAAATAAGAAGAAAAAAAAAAGAACAAACACATGTACACAACTAGCATAGTGCCACACCCACAACCAGTACAGGAGCAAATTGCGATTGAACCCCTAAGCCATCGCATGTTGCTTTAACGATTCCGATAATCAGAATTAGTGAGAGACGTCATTTAGGTTCTTGGAAACAACTCTGAGCGGGTTAAACAGCTCATAATTATATTTACATTGTCTAAGCTTAACCAAGATAAAGTGCCTAGAGAAGCGGTCAGGATCATTAAAGCTTATATCACCAAGTAATGCGGGTAGCAATAGTACCATTTATTACTTGGATTAAGAAGGAAACGCCAAGAACAAATCTACGTTTCTCAAGTGACGGTAAGAATAACAGAAGCAACCTATTTTCATAGGGGGGAAGAGGCGAACGGATGCTTAAATCAGTTTACATTACATCTGTGCGAGACACACTAGAAAACGCCTTGAAAAGATTACAAGTAAATTCTAACAAATAGTATGTTTCTATGCCTAGAAATTTTTGGAAGTGCGGTATTCGGACATATACACATTCGTCATAGGCCTTGGTCAAAGCAAACTCTCTGCAAATATTTTTATTACAAAATTATTTAAGAGACAGAGTTATAACTAAAAATAGTGCTACACAAAGAAAGCATAATGCCATCTTTCAGCCTTACGATTGTAACGGTCTTAAAAGTTTCAAGAGCAAACCAAGACGCAAACCAAGACGCAAACGAACAAATCTCGTGGAAATATAATGCTGATTTATTTATTTCAATTGATTTATTTCAGCTGATTTATATAATTCAATTGGTTCTTTCGGAGTAATAAGTGTTGGTTCCTGGAAAGCTTCTGTATAAAATTTCAAATATAAGAAACCTTAAGAATTCCCTATACACACTTGGTTTGCTGCTTATCACATTTCCATTGTTCCTTTTAATTTACTCCATCAGCAAGTCGTTTGAAACTGTTGAAATAATATCTTTACTCCTCTTTATATGAGCAAGAGACTCTCAGAAAAAATATATATTTGTAATGCAATGTTACGTAATTACTTTTATGAATTAAAGCGGCCAGCTAATAGCATAGCTGTTGTTTACTATTCATACAATTATGTGTATAGTAATGCGACTCACGGAAGACAAACTTTCTTATAGCAATTAACTGTTTCAACACAAGACTTAATTCATTTACGGTCGCACTTGATTATTCGAACAAAAACTCGTAATTAGATCATCTGCTTGTGTGCTGCGGTAGTTACAGTGATTTGCATTTTTTTTTTTATAAATTCTTTGCTTTTTATATGGGTCTTCTTATCGTAAATCGGTGTTCAGATCTTTTCTGTTTCTGAAAAATTCATGAAACTGTTCATCACCTCTCCCGTTATCTTCCTGTTTCTCCCATTTCTTTCTTTTGGCTAGTTGATAGGTAATAAAGTACAGAGACATTTCTACAAATAGATTTACGATCCTGAGTGTGTTCTTTCTAAAATCAACATAGTCCTTATGCTATGCTAAGATGATAGCCACAGCGTAGTGAATGTGCGCCCACCTGAGAAAGCTGACCTGATTAGCTATTGGGTTAGGAACAAGCAACAGATAATTACTAAAACATGTACATACTTGGTTATTTTAGCCATATAGTTGTGTTCATTCGTAAGTATATTTGCATTTTATTGGGTTGGTCACGAAGTTGGTGTAAGAAGTTTATGTCAAATTAAAATAACTGAAATTTTGCACATATAATTGATGAGCACAGATCAAGTTTCAAGATGGGAGCGATTAGCTCATAGCGACGACGTAAAAATAAACATACAATGCAATACTATTGTAAAATTTGGTGAAGATATTTTCGAGAGGTAAAAATGAATTGTAGTCCAATCGGTACATAAGTTTCTAAACGTAAGGATGTCAATAATTAACGAGAAATATTCTATCCACTTCTGAAGGAAGTGAAAACACTTATTCTATTTACTTAAACACGAAACCCAACTAAAGAAAATTAATAGTCGAATTCAATTGACTCTTACAAGTAAATCTTATACTAATTAATATTAAAACTAGTATGAAGTATACATGGAGATAGTCGAATAGTCGAATTCAATTCACTCTTACAAGTAAATCTTATACTA